CCGGGGACGAGTGGCCTGGTTTTTATAAAATCACCCCCTCCCCGTGCCCTCCTTCCAGCCCAGGCAGCCGAAGACAACGGAATTAACCCCAACCCGACCCCTCTCCCCCTTCCCCGAGCACGTTCCTCCCCAGGAGCTGGGACGAGGAGCTCACCTGGATGACGCTCGGGCTGCGAGGCTGGTGCTGAGCCGCATCCCCCCCCCCGGCGCCTCCCTAGAGCATGTAAATGATGTAGGAGAGGATCACGAGGCCGATGATGGCGAAAAACATCAGGATGAAAATGTCCAGCATGGCGAGGGAGGAGGCGCCGGGACGGGGAGGAGGTGTTGGGAAGGGGCTGCCGGGCTCCCTGCGGTGGCTCAGACAGGGATTCTGGGATCCAGCTGCTCCCTCCCCTCCCAGCCCAGCACGGCTCGCTCAGGATGGAGAGATGATGCCGGAGCTGATGGAGCCGCTTTCCAGCCGGGAAATAAAGGGATAAACACCGGCGGGCAGACCCAGCTCAGCCCTGGGGGCCCGATGCCAGCCCTGCCTGGGAGTTGTTGCTCAGTCCCTGCTCCTTCCTTCCCAAACTTCCCAGTTCACGGGGGTGCTCGCTATGAGGTGACCCCCGTTTGCAGCTGGGAACGGGCCCATCCTATGGAGAAAGAAGGAAAATTGGCCATGGCAAAGGCACACCAGGACTGCTCCGAACTCACCTTCCAGCCAGGTGCTCCTGGATTACCTCCCCATCCTCTGCCTTCGGTGTCACACACAAGGAGCTCCTTTATTTCCCTTGGCTTTTTTTGGCTGCTGCTGTTCCCAAATAACACCCTCCTCCTCCACACACCTTCCCGATTTTTTTTTTTTCCCCACTGCTAAACACTGTAGCTGCTGAAAATCCCACCTGGAGAGGCTGAATTCCCGGGGCTCTGTGAGCAGGGATGAGCCAAGGAGCTGCATCCCAGGTGGATCCCCAGGGATGTCAGTGCTTCCCACTCCCAGGGCAGCCAGGCCAGACGATGACCCAGCTCTGGCAGCCTCCCCTAAGTCCCCAAAATCCCCACCCTGCCCCAGGGAAGCAGGAAAAGCCACCGCAGTCAAAAGGCAGCACAATCAGCAGGTAAAAATTATACTTTTATTTTTTTTTCATCCGAGTAAACCGGGAAGAGGACGGGGTTGGATTGTTCCACTCGATGGTTTGGGACAAAAAAAAAGGCCAAATCACATGTTTTACTGGTGGGTGCTCAAGCCCACGGGGAAGGAGGACACGAGGACAAACCCCAATCAAGCGACGGATCCCGAAGAAAACACGTTCTAAGCTCAGCACTGAGACGCAACCGGGGAAGCTGGGGATGGACGAGGGCTATTTTACATGTGATGAGAAGCAACTCAGCTTTTCTCATTTTTTTCCTTTCCTTTCTTTCTTTCCTTTTTATTTTTTTTATTTCTTTTTTTACTATTTTATTTATTCATTTATTTTTTTTTTTTTAAATACAGGTTTAGGTGCTTTTCGGCTATGAAAAAAAGGCAAAAAAGTGCATAAGTTGAGAGAAAAAGGCAGAAATGAAGCAGTAAGAGGTTTGTTTATCGCACGGGGGGGGGGGGGAGAAGGGGCCAGGGAAGGGCAGGGGGGAGGATTAGGGACAATGGTCTCAAGGTAGCATTAAAAAAAGGTCTGTATCCCAAAACGGAATTGCCTGTGTTATTTGGTCCATTAAAAAACGGTTTATTCACATTGATACTCCCCCCCTCATTCCCAGACAAGAACGTGATTAAGAAGAGGATTGGCAGGGGGATGTGGGTCCCCCCTCCCCGGCCACCCCCTGCTCTTGTGCTCACTTGTTTTAGCACCAAAATCCCGGACAGCCCCTCCCGGGGGCCCAAAAATCCCAGGCACTCTCCCCCATCCCATTGCAGCCGGCTGGGGAAGGAGCCAGGCGTCCCTTTCCCTGGCTCAGGCCCTCTCAGGGGGTCTCCACCCTGGCAGGGACCCCCTCCTTGCTCCAGCAGTCCCTGATCCCGGTCATCCCAACCATCCCAATCCCAGCACCATCCATGCTCCAGCCCTGCAGCCCCCGATCCCAGTCATCCCAACCATCCCAATCCCAGTCATCCCAACCATCCCAATCCCAGCACCATCCACGCTCCCGCCCTGCAGCCCCTGTGCTCTGAGGAAGGGGACTGCAAGCAGGAGGCAGGGACACGGCCCCAAACAGGGCCAGGGAATGTCTCAACTCGGCCACTTTGGTCCCTGTATTCCCTCTTTTCCTTTGGGAATAGCAAAGGTGACACTGTCCCCCTGGAAGTGTCGTGGTGCAGCCCGGCAAGGGGACACCACTGTCCCCTTGTCCTGCTCCTGTGACTCAGGAGAGGAGCGTCCCACTCCTCCCTCCTCACACAGGCTTCCAGTTATCCCGACCCCGACCTGCTCCGGCACCTTGGGAGCCCAGAGGAGAAGGGGACAGGGATGTGCCCGGAGATTTTGGTCCATGACATGATTCCAAGTCAGTGGTGGTCCCAAAAGCTGCCACCGTGGCTGGGAACGAGGTGCAGGGTGGCTCAGGGTGCCCAGTCACTCCAGAGCAGGGTGCTGGAGGGGGACACTCACCCAGGTCAGTCCCAGCGTGGTGCCAGAGGGGGAGGATCCTTCACACCCGGCTCAGAGGAGGCACAGGGATAGGGACTGATCCTGCTGGCTCCCCACACCATCCTCCCAGCAGGTGGGGGGCTCAGGAGGGTCCCGAAACCCCGGTGGCAGCAGCAAGAGAAAAGCAGGAAGGTTCTGGGTGAATTTGGGGAGCGGCGAGGAAGAGGCTTCCAGGGGACACCCAGACCCCGGTTGGGGGGAGCTGGAGCTGCAGGGGGGCTCAGCCCAGCTCCAGCCCTGGAGCCAGAGCAACCCCAAAGCTGCTCCTTCAACCAGGGGAAATCAGGGAGGTGGAAGGGGGCAGCCAGAGCCCGAGGCAGGAGCACCCAGAGCCACCCCCAGGGCTGCCCAGAGCAGCCGCTGGGGACCCCGAGGACAAAGGCTTTGTTTGAGATCCTAACTGTGAATGTTTTCCTGTTCTGAGGACCGAAGGGAGCAAAGATTGAACGGGAACTGCGCAGAGGGGCCGGGAGCAGCAATGGGATGGGCTGGAGCCAGGGTGGGGCAGGTGGAGGCTTCCAGCCCATCCCTGCAGCCCAGGGCACCCTGGGGATGAGCATCCCTCAGCTCACCCGCACGGGCACCTCCGCCCAGCCCTGCCAGGGCGGGGGGAATTTGGTCCTAACATGGTCTCTCCCTCTCTTTTCTGGGATCGCGGCAACTCCGGCTGCTCCCCCCGGCCAGGAAAGGCCCGAGCGCCCGGGGGGGCTGGAGAGGAGGGAGCCCCAGGGAGCAGGGGAGCTGCAGCCCCTCATGCCCCCCCTTGCACACAGTCCCTCCGTCCCCACGGGGCCACGACGGAGCTGAACGGGCGGGAGAACCCGGAGGCGGCTGCGGACACACGGACACGGGAGCCGGGCCGTCCGGAGGCACCGGAGCACACGGAGCAGGGACGCTGGGGCAGAGGGGCTCACACACACACACACCGGGGGGGGACAGCCCCGGGCTGGGGGCTGGGCTGGACCCCCTTTCCTCCCCCCTGAGGGCTCAGATGGCCTCCACGTAGTTGGCGGGCAGCATGCCCGTGTCCCCCGTGCGCTCCACGGTGCCGTACATCCACCCGTCGTCGATCTGCTGCACGTTGATGATGGTGTCGCCGTCCTGGAAGGAAACCTCGTCCTCGTCCGCCGCGTTGTAGTCGTAGACGGCGCGGAAACGCTTCTGTGGGGACACGGGGGGGCGGTGGCAGATCCTCCTCTGGTGCCCTGCCCTGCCCCGGGGTGAGGGGTGTGCCCGATCCCGGGGGTTATCTGGGAATGCTGGCGCAGAGCCAAGTGCTCGGCCCCTTCCCAAGGGCTCCCCCCTGGCACAGGGTGGGCAGCAGGCAGAGCTCTGGGGGGTTCAACAAGGCTAAGTGCCGGGGGCTGTGCTTTGGCCACAACGAGGGGGACAGAAAGGGAGCTGGGGGTGCTGGTGACAGCAGCTGGACACGAGCCAGGGGTGCCCGGGTGGCCAAGGAGGCCAATGGATCCTGGCCCGGATCGGGAATAGCGTGGCCCAGCAGGAGCAGGGAGGTGATTCTAACCCTAGACTGAGCACTGGGGAGGCCACACCTCGAGTGCTGTGCCCAGCTCTGGGCCCTCAGTTCGGGAAGGACGTGGAGGGGCTGGAGCAGGTCCAGAGAAGGGTCTGGAGCTCAAATCCTGTGAGGAGCAGCTGAGGGAGCTGGGGGGTCTCAGCCTGGAGAAAAGGAGGCTCAAGGGGGAACCTTCTCACTCTCTACAACTCCCTGACAGGAGGGGGGACCCAGGGGGGGATCAGGCTCTGCTCTCAGGGAACCAGCACTAGGACAAGAGGATCTTAAGTTGTGCCAGGGGAGGTTTAGGGTGGACACTGGGAAGAAGTTCTTCCCAGAGAGAGTGACTGGGATTGGAATGGGACACTGGGCATTGGAATGGGCTGCCCAGGGAGGTGGTGGGGTCACCAGTCCCTGGAGGTGTTTAAGCAGAGCCTGGATGTGGCATCAGTGCCACGGTCTGGGTGACAGGGTGGTGCTGGCTCACGGGCTGGACTGGATGATCTCAGAGGTCTTTTCCAACCCAGCTGATTCTGTGACTCAGAACGAACCCCCCGGGGGTGGGAAGCAGGGGGCTGGTGCTGGGGGGCTGCTCTGGGCTGTACTCACCCCCCCTGCAGACGGGGCACTGCGCTGTGTCGAGGCCGGAGCCGCCGGCTCCTTGTATCCATAGGATTGGGACGGCGGCTGCTGCTGGTACACTGCGGGGGCAAGGACGTGAAGTGGGATATGGGGGGGCACAGCAGAGCCCCTCACAAAGCCCTGGTTGCCCCCCACCCCCCCGGGCCTCACCTGGGTTGGTGGGCTGGACGTGGTGGGACGGCTGGTGCTGCTGCTCGGCGGGTCTCCGGTAACCGGAGCTCTCCTGGGAATTCCTGCGCTCCGGCTCCGAGCCCTCGCTGGGGCTGGGGCCCATCCTGCTCCGCTCGAACTCCTCGTGGTATTTGATCTGCAGAGGAGGTGGTAGAGGAGGGAGAGGTCAGGGCTCACCCAGCCTGGCCCTGGCAGCAGCTCCTCCAGCACCAGAAACAGCTTCTCCCAATGAACAGGCAATGGGGTGAGAGGAAACGGCCTCAAATTGGGCCACGGGAGGTTTAGATCAGATATTAGGGGGAAATTTCTTCATGGGAAGGGTGGGCAGGCACTGGAACAGGACTCACCAGCCCTGGAAGTGCTAAAAACATGTGGATGTGGCACCTGGGGACAGGGTTTAGTGGTGACATGGCAGTGCTGGTTAATGGCTGGACTCCCCATGAGCTTTGAGGGTTTTTCCAGCCTGAATGAGTCCATTATTCTTTGAGCCTTCATCTCATCCCAGCTCATTCCTTTCTGAGACCAAGGATTCGGCATCAGCCACTCCCACCCTCCCTGGCAGTCCCAGGGGGGCTTCTTCACTCCCACACCCCCCTGGAGCACAGGGACACTTGCTCAGGTTTGTGGCATGGAAAGGAGGAGGTTCCTGTGTCCTATGGGTGGGACATATGGAATTTTTTCAGGATGAGATGCAAGACCAGGCTCCCAATCCACGGGAACATGGAGCAAAAGCCCCTTTGGGAATCCCCCACTGCAGACACTGAGCCTGGGGCGCAACCCCCCCATCCCACAGCCAGGGACAGAGGAGGGAAGAGTTAACCCAGCCACGGGGGCACCAGTGTGAAAATGAACCCCCCCTGGTGTTAATGAATTCATTCCCACCGGGAAGCATCTGGAGCCTGTTCATCTGCTGGTTAAACTGTGATTTCCTGAAGGGCACCACAGCAGGAGCCTGGAGCAGAGCCACCCTTCTGGGGGGGGGGGAAAGGCCTGGAGGGGAGCACCCCACTCCTCTGGATGGTGTGGGGACCCTGGGGAAGCTGGGGACAGCCTCAGGGACAGCCTCAGGAATAGGGACAGCCTCCAGGACGGGCACAGCCCCATTCCCAGGAGGGTTTTCCCACCTCCCCTGAGGGCAGTGTGGGGCATTGCCGTGTTGGGACCCCCTTTCCTGCCCCTGTTGCTGCCCTGGCAGGGCAATGCTGAGGCTCAGACAGGCTCCTGCAGGGACAGGGTTTGTCTCTGTGTCTTCAGTAAGTGGGTCATGGCCACCCCGGGCTGGCAGGGACGCCGGGGAAGCTGCTGCCAACTGTGCCCGTGGCTGGCAGAGGGTGAGGAGGCTGAGCAGAGGGACCAGGGCCGGGGCCAGCTCTCTGCTGGGTGGTTTAGTGCCCCCAAACCTCCCCACCTTCTGCCCAAACACAGCGCCTTCCACGGCAGGGAAGCTGAGCTCGGCTCCTGCCAGCTCAGAGCCCACGGAGAAGCTGCCCCAGGGAAAACCTTCCAGCCAGGTCCTTTTCCCAAGCCTTGCCCAGCCTCTCTGTCCTGGGGTTTGGTGGGTCAACAACAGCCCACAGCTCCCTGAGGAGAGAGCAGCGTTTGCCAAGGAACTGGGAAAAGGGAGCAGAAGGAGAGGGAATAAACATCCCCCTCCTGCCCTGCTGGGGCTTCTTGGGGGTGTCTGTGTGTGTGAGGGGGCATTAAACAACCCCCTGGGGCACAGGCACCCTCCTCCCTCTCCCTGGATTCCAGCGAGCCCAGACCCCTTCCCTGGCCATCCCAGCAGCTCCCACGGAGGGATTCTGTCCCCAGGGCAGGGATTCTCATGGATTTTGGAAAAGCCAGAGCAGCCCAGGGTGCAGAGCCAGGGGCAAGAGAGGAGCTCACAGACACCACGAGCTCGTGGAGCCCCCCAAAGAGGTTTCTCATGGAAAGGGTTGAGTGGGCAGGGAGAATCCAGCCCTCTCCCTTCCCAGGGTTTCCCAACAGCTTTGGCGAGGAACAGGCATGACTTTCACCAGCAGCCAAAGGTTAATGGTCTCCCTGTGCTCTGCTGGGGGGAGGACAGAGGGAGCCCAGGGGGATTTGGGGCAGGGACAGCCACACCCCACTCCTGGTGCCGCAGCTGGACGTGTGTCCTCCTGTGCATCCTCCTGTTTACTGCGCCTGTGCATCCTCCCCTGTCACCATGGCAATGCTCCAGCATCCACAGCCATCCCCAGGCACACACACACAAGGCAGAGGGAGCAGGAGAGGGACAGAGCCCCCCCTCGGGGCCCTGGGCAGGGCCAGGAGTTGGAAGGGATGATCCCTGTGGGTCCCTCCCAGCTCCGGGTGTTCCAGGATCCCACGTGCTGCCCACGCTGAGGGTCCTGGTGACAACCAGGGGGGGATGGAACTGCCCCTGGGCCACATCTGCTCCCCCCCACAAAACACCACGTTCTGCTGCTCCCTTCCTGCTTTTCACAGTCAAGGTGGAGCATCTCGGACACCCCTCTGGATGCAGCTGCAGGATCCAGCAGCTCAGAGGAGCAGGGAGGGGCACAGGAAGGTCACAGGATGCCCAGGAAAATGGGCTGGAGAACTAAAGCTGCCAGGCTGCCCCTCAGCAGCTGTCACAGCCAGTGGTCCCCTCCTGGCTGCACAGCAGAGCTCCTCCAGCCCCTCCCTGGCCCCGGGAAGGTCACGGCAAGGGCACAGCAGGGATTGGGAGCCACTCACGTTGCTGATCTGATCCTGAGTCTTTTTGATCCTCTGCAGCTCCGGGGTGTCGGCCACCACGCTGAAGCCTTTGCCCTTGTTCTTCTCAAACTCCTCCTTGTAGCGAATCTGGGGACAAAGAATGAAAAACTGGGTTCAAACAGAGGGGAAGGGTGGAGAGCACAGCTGGATCCAGCAGCTGGATGCACCAACAGCCCCTCAGTGTGACCCACGGGCTTCAGGAGAGGCAGCAGCACCTAACAGGGGCTTTGCCTCGCCCAGGAGACCCCCCTCAGGGTACCCAGGAATGGCAAAACGGGGATTTTCCAAGAGCTGGAACACAAAACCAACTCCCCCCAAGCCTGCAGGGCTTGTTTCCCTTTCAGCAGGGGTTGAGGTCACTCAGGTTTGCTCCCAGTTCCCTGTGGGCTGCCAGGAGCAGCTGGACCATGGGATCCAGTGACCCACAGCCCTACAAAGGCAATTCCAGCCAGGGGATGTTCAGCCACCTCTGGGAAGGAAAAGGCCTGCAATGAAACCAGAGCATGGAGGGTGGAGGCTGGTGAAGCACAGGCTGTCCTTCTGTCTGTCTGCCAGCCCCTGACAACAACACTGCCTCCCAGCACGGCCAGGAGCCCAAAAGTCGTGGCTTTGCTTCTCTTTTTTTTCCCCTTTTTAATACAGTTTTAAGGCTGGAGCTCCCAGCTCTCCCCAGGGAGCCCCAGCCCAGATGTGCTGCCCAGCCCTCAGCTCTGGGAGCTGCTGGCCCTGCTGCTCCTCGCAGGACTCTGCTCCCACCAGGTCACCCAGAAGCAGAAGCAGCTCCTGCAGAGGCTGAAACCCAACCAGGGACGTGACAGCTCCAAGGGGGAAGGAAACGGGGCCCGGCAGCCACAAACCCACCCCATTTCCATAGCAGGGGGGAGCAGACGTGCAGAGAGGCACCCTGAGCCCCCCTCCACCCCCCATGGGGACCTGGCCCTCCTGTCAGGGGCCCTTCTGGGGAGGAAAGAGCCGTAAGGGGCTGGATGCAGAGCCCTGTTTCCCAGGGATTCACCTCCCCGGAGCTCCCCCTGAGCTCTGCGGGTCTCACGTTGTCACTGCAGTGAAAAGGTCACCGGGGGCTCTCACACCACCAGCACGGACACACAGCCATGCCCAGCCCTCCTGGAGCTCTCCTGGAGCTGGGCTGGCTCCACAAGGAAGAACTCTGCAGACCCCACACTGCTCCCACACGCTGAGAGAAATCCGGGAAGCAGAGCTGGAAGCGTGGCGGGATCGAGCCCGTGAACCTGGCACAGGCACCCCCACGGACAAGGACCTCACACACTCCTGCCCCTCCAGACCTCCCAGCTCTGCCTCCCAGTCCAGCTGGGCCCGGAAACACCTTTCAGGAAAGGCTGCCAAGGATTTTATAACGTTTGGAGGAGCCAAGACACACCCCCATGGCCGGCTGGGCTCTCCCAGGCTCTCCCATTTCCAGCAGGATCCAAGACGTGCTGGAGTGCCCAGGGCAGACCATGGAGCAGGTCCTGCCCCCTCTCTGCTCCAGAATGACACAGGAAACACGAGATTGCCAGGGAAAAACTGAGACACTGTGGTTTTTGTGTCACAGAGAAGCTGCAGGCTCAGACCAGCTCCGTGTGTCCCACACCCCATCCAGCCCTGCCAGGACCTTGGGGGGGCTTGGGGGGCACAGCACCCACCGTTTGGATTTTGCCTGGAGCAGGGGGGATGCCAGACTCCATGGGCAGACTGGATTGGTGGTACAGACACCCCAGAACTTTCCAACACACAACATTCCCTCTTCCCGCCCTGCAAAGCAGGAGGAATCAAGCTGTGGGGGCATCTCCCAGCCCCTCCACCTCCCCCACGGTCACCAGGGGCCACAGAACCCCTGGATAGACGGGATGAGCTGAGTCATGCCCCATTTCTCTCTGATTTGTCATTAGAAAGCAAAAGCTTAATGACCCACAGCTCGATGGCCCTGCAGAACCCACCCCGGGGCACTGCCACCACCCCCGGGGTGCCAAAGCACAAACACAGGGCACAAACCTCCCTCTGCTTGAAGCAGCAGAGGGAAAGGACAAAATCTCTGACCTGTCAGGGGTAAAGGACAACTCGAATTTCCCCGAGGGGGGAAAGAGCAGCTCGGGAGGTTTGAACAACCAGGAACTAAAGGTTAACTGAGCTGTGACACAAAACCTGTGACACAAAACCTGTGACACAAAACCTGTGACACACCGGGACAGGGTCAGGAGGGGGTGACTCAGCCCTGCAGCTGCTCTGGAACCACCAGCCCCAGTTTGCCCAGGGACAGGGGCTGTGTTTTGTCTCTGTTTCCCAAAAAGGAGAGGGTTTATCCCACAGCCACCCCCTGCACAAGCACACAGAGCTGATGAGCTGTAAGAAATCCAGGCTGGAAAGATAAGGAATCACCAAGCAAGGAGCCAGTCCCACTGCCAGGCAGTTCCTCTGATCGGTTCTGTGTTTTCACCCTCCTAAATCCCACCCCCCCTCTGTTTTCGGGATACAGGAATTCAGCCCTAAAACCCTGCAGGATGGGGATGCCTGGCTGCATCCCCGTGATGATAATCACATAACAGGAATAAAATGGCATCCACAACGAATTTTCCCAGAGGAACTGTTCCCTCTCCGTGCTCCTGCTGACGTGTGCATCCATGTGTTATCCAGAGGGAGCTGGAGAACAGCCCTTCACACATCACAGCCCTTCAGCCCGGGCACATCCAACCCTCCCCGCGCCACGTCCGCGCTGTCACCGACACCGAGGTGACAGCGGAGCTCCCGGAGGTGCTGGCACGGCAGGAACAGGATCCAGGCACCTGCTTCCCACCCACGGGCCCCTCCACCCCGGGGCAGGAAGGGCTGTGCCCCAAACCCACCCACGGAAGGGCTCGGAAAAGGAGCCACAGGGGCCGGGAACCTGCAATTTCCCTGCCAGGCGTGGGCTGCGGGAGCGGCCCTGCGGGCACCGGAGCTGTCACTTTGGGGACACATTTATCCACACAGGACAAATTATCCGGCAGCTTCCAGTGACCGGAACGGGAGACGCCTCCACAGCGGGACACAAATAGCGGAGAGACGTGACACTGCTGGGACACTGCTGGGACACTGCTGGGACACTGCTGTGACACTGCTGGGACACTGCTGGGACACTGCTGTGGGGCTCAGCATGGGGGGCCTGGCAGCCTGCCCTGCACCTCACCCTGGGCACCCTGGCTCTGCCATCCTGCCCCTGCACGTGTCCAGCACCCCATCCTTGTCACCCCATCCCTGCAG